ACTTATCGACCAGGAGATTATCGATGATCGTAGAATAGTTCTTAAGCTTGCGAATTATTTTAGAGCACAGCAGGATCTACCGGGCTCACTTGGTTGACTCGGAGACGCACGACCCAGGATTCGATCCCCGCAATCCCGGCGCGCGGTAAACAGCGCCACTCGCCACTGTCACCTCCGCCCAGAAAAACAGAGCTACGAATAATTAAACGATCAAAGTAAAGATCTGGGAAGAAATCAAATTCGATCTTGACAAAGGAACAATGGAATTTCCAAATCTGAATCCACTCCATTCCACTGATTTAAAAAATCTTTTCAAAAATTCACTTTCAAGAAGCCCGAAACGCTCGAAACTTCTTCCGGTTACTAGAAATGAAATATGGAATATTTGAACCTCTATAGAGGCTTGGAAGGGAAGCAGCGCTGTTCGAAAACCTCATGGTAATTCAATTATTCAGAATAGCAGATCCCAATGATCTTTCCAAGTGATGCACCGTTATGAATATCGATAAATAAGTGCATGAACTAAGAAAATGAGAAGGAAGCGTCCTTCAAAATTGAAGACGCAAGACAGTGAGCAAAAAATGAGCTAAGTAGTGAGAGCGGATGATGAACGTATGAGGAATGCAACGGCGTGAGGTAGACATTAGCAGCAGCGAAAGGCGCTAATTAGAATGCGATCCAAGGTCTAACGTGGGTGAGTTAGACCTCGGTGATGGCGGTGACTATCGGGCAAGCCAAGGCTGAGACACGCCTCGGCTATGCAGACCTAACCAGCGACCCAAAACAATTCCACGATCCCCTCGTGGAATCGGATTGGGCCAAAGCGCTCGACAAGACTACCGCTGACGCAAGTCGCGGTCAGTTCGACATTCCTTGGGCGATTGCCGACGTAGCCGACGTCTATTAGTATTCCACAGATGCTCGGCGTACAATTTCGAACCTAGAAACGCAAGTGGAACCTCGGCCAAAAGTGGAACTTTCGGAAGAGTAACAGTTCCCGGAATTCATTTGTTTCGAAAATCGGAAATCGAATTCAGCTCTCCTTTCAGATGT